CAGCATAAAAGAGTGAGCCTTTTGTCTACACTCCTCAAGAAGACAAGCGTTATTAATTTCAATATAAATTCTATTACTGCTACTGGTCAATCATTGGTTCATTTAGCATGTACTAGTGGTAGTATATTATTAGTGAAGGTATTAGAGGAGTATGGTATTAATACAAGTTCATTAGATTATGAGGGTCGGTCTGCAGTACATTATGCTGCTTTATCAGGTTCACCTACCCTACTCAGTTATACTGTATCTGAGTATAGCTTGAATGCCAGTCAACCAGACTACAAAGGTGCAGTACCATTAGCATTAGCTTGTATGTCAGGTAGTATCAATGCAGTAGAATATATTATGAATACTACTGACATTGATATTAATATAACCTGTAATGAGGGTAGAACACCTCTTCATTATTCATGTTGTCATGGTAACGTTGATCTCAGTCAATATCTCATTGAAGTACAAGACAGTGACATTAACATAACAGATAATAAGAAATGGAATGCATTAGATCATAGTGCTGGGAGTGGTAACATGAAGCTAGTCCAATACCTCATTAATAATCATCAATTGCCTCTCACATCAATTGCATTACTTCAAGCAGTATGTAGTACTAAACTATCGTTAATTAAATTATTAGTTAACGAATATAAACTAGATCTTCAAGTTAAAAGTTGTGACGGTATGCAAGCAGTTCATTGTGCAGCTCAAGTGGCTGCTATTGATGTCTTAGAGTATTTAGTAAAAGATTGTGGATGTGATTTGGATAGAGTAGGTGGAGTAGACAATTGTAATGTGTTTCATTATTATACATGGAATGGTCATTTTTTATTCGTTAAGTATATTATTAATAATTATCCACAATATACTAGTCTATTACATTCTACTGATAATGATGAAACTCTACCAATTCATTATGCCTGTATGAGTGGTGTAATACAACTAGTGACATTTCTAATTGATGTAATGAAATGTGATGTCACTACTGAAGATAAGATTGGCTACACTTGTGTCACAAGGGCATGTGAATCTGGTAATCTTGATCTTTTAAAATTATTAATAAAACAATACAACCTTAATCCTAAAATATTCAGCATATTGTCATCACCAGAAGTGGCAGTGTTATTTGGACATGTTCATATACTAGAGTGGCTCAGACAAGAGTATCATATCAAAGTAGTCTCATTTAAGAATGGTGTATTACCTTTTTATGCTGCACAATACAACCGTTTGTATTGTTTAAAGCATTTATTAAACAATTATTCATTTGATATTAATGCCACTGATCCTAGAAATGATACTCAATCTACACTCCTTCACATAGCATGTCAGGAAGGACATGTTGCTATAGTTCTCTACCTCACTAGTCTTCCTCAGTGTGACGTATCAGCTAAAACTTCAAATGGATCAACAGTTCTTCATTTATCATGTAAAAGTCGTTCTCTTCCTATACTCAAACATCTAGTGGAGGAGCATCAGTTGGATCTCACTATTAAAGATTACAATGGAATGGCTCCAGTTCATGTAGCCTGTGAAGAAGGATCATTGAATATAGTCAAGTACATTATAGACCATTCACCATTATCTCTTGATATGACCGACTCTTTTGGACGTACTCCACTACTTATTGCAGCTTTCTCTAAGAACCTTCCCATCATTCGTTACCTCAACAGTAAAACATGCAACATTTCTATACTGGATGATAAAGGGTTTAACGTAATACACATATCGGCAAAGGGAGGGTCTTTGGATATATTGAGGTTTTTCGTTGATGGTCGTTACTGTAATCCTGATATCACTGATGCTTCTGGTCGTACTCCACTTTATCTGTCAGCTCAAGAGGGTCACTTGGAAATAGTAGAATATCTATTGGATAGTCCAAGCTACAATAAACCACGTGTAGAATTAGTAGACATGGCAGATAGCAATGGTAACACAGCACTTCATGCAGCATGCAGCCAGGGTCATCCTGATATAGTGTCTACTATAGCAGGAGCTTACAAGTCTCTTAATATTGATATTTATTCAATTAATGAGAAGAGACAGACTCCATTACACTTAGCAGCAGCTAATGGTCACGTTAATACAGCCGTGTCTTTCTTATCAGCCACTACTGGTACTAGCAATCATGAGAAGCTCCTTGGAGCAGTGGATGGTGATGGTTGTTCTCCTCTTCATTTAGCTTGTCAAAATGGTCACTATAGGATGACACTGTATCTGTCTGAGGTGTATCCAGCTAATGTTTATAGTGTGAATAATAATGAGGAAGGATTGCTTCATGGAGCTGCTG